AAAATCTGGGATCGTGTCGAGAACTTCCGTGTCTGCACAGGAGACACATTAGCAGTATTTAGTTTGGCAGTAGTGTATTCTGAATTAACCGTCTTCGTGGGATGCTCTAATATAAAAATGTTTTCACTTATCCTGGAAGGTGGAAAGAATTCCCTTCATTGCTCTCTCGTAAATTCATGGCAAGGCTTCAGTTCATTTTCAGCTCACAAATGCTGCTTCACGGTAACTTTCAGCATCAGCTTTCTTACCATTTAAAACCAGCAGCATATTTTAATGCCATTTCCAGGAAATTATGACGCTTTACTAATTATCATTTCACCAGATAATACATACAGTACCAGTCAAAACTTTGGATACACCTACCCACAGAAAGGTTTATTTGTACTATTATCTACATTTTATAATAATTCTAAAGACATCAGAACTATAAAATAACATATATGGAATTATCCACTGACCAAAAGCATATAAAAAAATGTGGGGGGGAGGGGGAGCTCTGTGAGTTGGGACTGAGAAGGTTACCGGGTCAAATCCCATGGTCGGCAGAATGATCACACCATTTGGTCTCTGATCATGGCCCTTAACCCCAATTGCTCCTGTAACTGGCTGATCCTACTTTCTCCTCTAAGTCATTTTCATAAGGTGGTGTCCTGGGATGCTTTTCCAGCTGTCCTGAAGGTGCTCCCTCATATATGCTGGCCACTCATTTGCTGTGTTTAGTGACCAGGTCATGTGACGCACCCTATCACTCTTTGTTGGTGGCTTGGCGTGTCCAAACGTTTGACTGGCACATGCAGAAGAGTAAACAACAAATGAATGACACTTCAGGTTTCATTGTTTCACCCTCCTCACATCCATGCAGGCATTGACGTGTATTCAGATGTAACTTTTTAATGCAGTGATGATTTGGTCACTCTGAAGCCATAAACAGTGTCAGATGAAAATTCCAGATGAGTCCCTGGAATGGGGACTTACTGCTGCCATCATTGACTTTTTGGGAAGATAAGTGTGAAAGTGTGGGACTTCCTGTTACAACAAATAAAACTATAGGGACAAAAGGCTGCTTTTATTAAGTACAGCACACGCTTATTTTTTATCTTGACAGAATGACTTTAACATGTTTTTTATGACTATAATTCAGCCCAAGGCAAAACATATTCTGTGATTTCCTGTCAGCTGTAACAGTATGAGAATCGGAAAAATTAATACTGAAAATTCCTGGCTTCTTACAGACACAGAAAAGCAGGTGTTTGATTTGAGCTTTGATTTTTATTCCTGCTCAAGGTTTATTGTGCAGTCATTAATTACTCTTTACATCATATTATCTGATATAATATATGTATAATAATGGGCCGGAGCTGTCATGAGACAAAGCATGAGGATTATAATCAGCATCAGGGACAACTGCAGAGCAGACAAGTAAATTAGCCTACTTCATACTAACTACTACACAGTAAGAGTGCTGGTCACCACAGACTGACTAGATGAATTCCATCTGGAGGTTTTAGGGCAGATCAATGGAACAACAACAAATCCTGTTTTTCATTGTTTCCATTTTTTGTTCTGTATGCTAGAGGCTCATAGAAAAACAACACCATTCATCACTATAATCCAATGAAGGTCATCACTGGCTTCCAAAATTCCACAAACAGCAGAGTAAATGCAGCCACGAAGGTGTCACAGTGTAGCAAACTATTCCTATCTCTGTTTTTCTAAGTAAACTGGGTCTAGTCCCCAGAGTTGCCTATTAAGACATGCCTGTTTAATGGTAATCCCATTAGGAGGAAGAGAGCCAAAGCCCAGATCAAGATTATATCCATCAATTTATGTTATCCTTCCAAATTAGACTCCTAGTCTGCTCCCATTTTCAGCTTAAATGAGCCCAATTAAATGATTCCGGGCAAAATTCTGAGAATGATGCAAGAACTCAAATCTTGTCTAAAGCATTAAGCGTCAATTCTGTCTTCTTTAATATCTTTTCATTTCATCTCTGTGTTAAGATTCCAAGGTTAATTAAGTGTAGAATGTGAAAAAGGTACAGTGGTCTCTTATTTTCAGTGTTGGGAGCTTGAATCTGAGTGTGTGCATGTTTGTGTGTCTGTACGTGTGTGTGTGTGTGTGTGTGTGCAAAGCAGTTATGGAAGATGCATGGATAGGTAAGATGTATGGATGCTCAAATATCTCATATGTGAAACTTGTTTCAATTAACTTTCATGGAATTAAAACCTGAGAACTTCCCCTCCTGATCGGACTCCTGAGGAAACCACCTAACGGCCCAACAGACGGCCGTCATTTTATGCAATTTCTTTTGTTTTAATCAAAAGCTTTATATTCCATAAAATATCAATAGCTGAACCTTTGAGGTCCCCTGCTGAGAATGTGTGCCACAGAAGGAACTGTTGTACAAATAATGCTGAACACCAGAATTGTCAGAAGATGCAACCTTGATCTCATTCTTGTTCATGCTTTCTCTTTTGTACTCTTTAATGAAGCCATCAGATGTGCTAAAATCTGTTTGAGGGCTGAATACTTCAGACTGAACTTCTTTGGTGTTACTTAAGAGTTGCAAAGGATTGTCCATAATATAGCCACTCGCAGCTCTACTCTTTCATTAGACGTAGCTTGGCTCCTCTGGTTCACATTAAACACATGATGTACAGCTGGGTGTACCCAGTGTTTTTAACAGAAGGCACGTCAAAGTACTTTTGAGAACAAGATTAACAAAATTACTAAATGCAAAAAAACATTCAGATGCCACAGCTAACAGACATGTGTGTCACCAATGTTTTTTATTAATGTGTCCGTCTCTTCAGCAGTCAACGATGATGAATGCAGGGGCCAGCATTGCTCGGTGTTCATTGTTTCACTTACACCATAAACGGTCATATAAAATTCCCTGGATGCTTTGAAGAAGCAAATGTTGTGTAAACAAAAACTGCTCCAGCAATATATAGGGCATACACATAGGGTTGGGTAGCAACGTGGCCTCACATCTCCAGCTGATGAGGTTTCGATTCCCTCCCCAGGTCCTGTGTTTGTGGAGTTTGCTGGTTTTTCCTAAGTTCTTCTTTCTCAATTCTTTCTCAAGATTGCTCATGGTGAATGATTATGCTGGTGAGTGTGTGTGTGTGTGTGGGTTATGTTTATATTATATTGTGGGGACCAAGTGTCCGCACTGTTATTTTAACATTGTTTTGATCAGTTTCTTGGGTCCCCAAACTTGATTTTGTAAAAATTTATGACTGCAATTAAAAAACTAAAAATGCCAAAAGACTTGTATCTTGTTTGGTTAGTTATGGTTATAGTTAGGGATGGGTAGGGGTTAAGGTTGTCATTGTTGGGATTAGGGTTTTTTTCCATAGAAATGGATGGACAGTCCCTGTAAAGATATGAGTACAAACTTCTGTGTGTGTTAATTATGTTAGTTTATGAAAGGTACAGAACTGGCAGGTAACTTTAAGCATTCTTAGAAATAAAAATTAAAACAGTTAAAAAAAACAGTAGTCGATTAAAAAAAAAAAAAAACTTGTGTTACAGGGTTCTGTAAAAATCATGTTGTGTGTTTTTTTCTAGTACCAGAGACCTATGTAATGTTACGTCCTTTATGGATTTTGTCACCATTTAATAAACAAAATTACTTTAAACTGTAATAAAACCTATAAACTTAATCCAGTAGCATGACACCTGGTTAGTCACATAACTTAGGTGGTAAGGGCAAAAGGTGGTGTGTCACGTGACGCGGGTGGTAATGGCAACAGGTGGTCAGTCACGTGATTCAGGTGGTAAGGGCACAGTGCGGTATACTGTACACGGCAGTGAGATTTAAACCCTTAATCCTGAGGGTATCCGCTGAACCACCACGCCACCCAGCCTCAATTTTAAGAGTAACTATTTACCCGTAGAATAAAAAACAAATCTTTATTTAATTTGCCATTATTATTCCATATTTTTAGGTCAGCCGATAAAGATGTTACATTTAATATACGCTCACTAAGATCTTAAAAGTCTGCATGCAGTCATCATCCAATTTGAAAGGCTAATACGTTGTTAGCAGACTAAGTGTCATTCAGTTATTTATTTTTTTAATGAGCGATAATTTTAATTGTGAGAAGGCACGCAATAAAGCCATTACAAAAGTACAATTAATTCACTACTGTCCAATTCGAACTAGGCGTAGTTAAAACATATCTATTATTCTTTAAAAAACTTTAAACAAATGTAAAAAAAAAAAAAAAAAATCAGACAAAAGACATTTTATATTATCTCCAAGAACAGTGGAGTAGTGTGTGTATTACATTCATAAAGCTCATGCAAATACGGTAATAGATACTCTTGTCTCAAACAAGGATTGTGTAGCAGTTAAGAAACTGGCCAAACGGTTAAAAGTTCAGATCTCAGCAGGAAAACACTGCATCCTGTCTTGTGGTCCTTAGCTTGACCTGCTTCAAATTTTTTTTACTTCTGTATAAATACTTACAAAAAAAAAAAAACATAGCCTACTGGATCAATGAGTGTCGTACGAAAATAAATGCATGATCCTTTTCAGCTAAATAAATCTTTTACTTTAGCCAACAACTATTGGTATATCATTATGGATGGTGTATACTAGCTTATAACTAATTCATACACTACACGATTGATGTCATTCATATGAAGTTACGAATTATAGTCAAGCCAATTAAATGCATTAATTAAACAGGTTAAATCAGGATGTACGGTAAAAGTAGATATGATTTATAAGTTTTAAATCTACTAAATCAACTATTGAATAAATCAGGGGCTAAGTCAAGTTTACCTGGGGCTTGACTTTTTTTTATATTGAAGGAAGCTGGACATCGGGGCTAAAATACTCGGCTTAAAATGTTCTGGGATATAGCCCCGTGGGATCGGACCTAACGACGCCCATGCAGCTGCACTTTATTATGAGTGTTTTCAACGTGACGCAAGTCAATCACCGATGAGGTGCAGAATACCATAATAAAGACTGAGCAATTCCGTACCTGTCATCGTAGCAAAAATCAGCGCCCAAGGTGTTAAGATAGATGACCAAAGCCACTGCGCTTGACACCAGCTCTGCAATCATTTCTCAGAAAAGAAAAAGAAAACGGAAGAAAAGTAAGTAAATGGGAAACTGTATGTCCAGTTTCCTCCGTGGCAATCCTTTCACTATTCTCCCTTGTCTTTGTGCGCCCGCAAATCCCTAGTCCACATCCTCTCAGATCAGTCTGAATTTATAATCCACGCATCATTCCTCTCTAACCCATTTTGATTTGCGGCGGCTTCGGAGAGGTGCGTTTCGGCGGCGGGGAGAGTGCCCTGCCCAGAGCGACTCCTGGGTGCGCTCGCTGGAGCCCCCCCGGTCCCCCCCACCCCGGCGTTTGTGACTGTACCCGCCCCATCTGCATCTGGCGTGCACGCCGGGAATGGACCTGAATCCCTAACAAGTAGCGTGAGTCCCCGTTATTGAAGCTTTCTCCGTCCAGATGTGTTTAATTTAAAACAATAATATTTAATAAACAAGCACAAATTAAAATAACGCAACTGTGAAGGAATGACGACAGTGCATACTATAATTTGCATATATTTGCATAGCACCAATAACTATGTAAATGAAGCTGCAATTTTTAAAATGAATGGCAATGCTATATAGTACGGGAATAGGTATTGTGTCAGTCTTGTATTATATTTAGGTAAACTAGTCAAGCTACAGTATGTAGGCCTACATTGTACATTAGTGTGTGCGTTTAATTTTAAATACCCAAGAATTTTCAAACATGCATCTTGCTTTATTCTTTTCTTTATTTTATTCTGCTTATGGCTAGAACATATAATAGATTTCACCAAACCACCACCAAATCTATGCATGCATATTGTATGACAAAATAAGGGCAAAAAAGCTAGATTTTCCCAAAGAAATGAGGTAAGCCTCTGGGTTATTATGTGAACAGAGGTATAGAAGAGTGAAAAGCATCACTATGATATTGCAAAGGTTAAAGTAAGGACAGGACAGCATCATCCACAATGCACGTCTTTAACTTTCTGAGGCATTGCTGTTGGTGTTTCGGCCAGACAGTCTCATTACAGATTCATAGACGTCTCTTCCAGCCACATCTTTGCCCTCAGGATGTCTCCAATACAACTGCTGTCTAAGGCCAGATCTGCTTAGCTTCAGGTGTCCCATGAAGAGGTCTGACAAGCTGATAAGTCTGTTGGGGGAAGCCCATTCTGTCAGTGGTCCACACAGTTCGGGGGTCTGCTTGCCTTCAGAAAAATGAGAACAGTTGTTCCCATCTAAGTCAAAGCAGACATAGACTACAAGTCTGATGTACACATCATTCATTATATTCTGCATTCAGACCCACCATGTAAGAGAGAAATTACTGAGCTGCCAAACTTAGAGTTCATAATTAATCGGTCAAACACTTGGTGAAAGCGTGGGATTATGCCTATTGCCTTGATTAGCTAAACTGAGAAGCATCCATGTAGAAACCTGCCTTAGGACTAGAGATGGGAGAAATGGGGCTTCGATTGAGGCTTTCTTTAAATCATTGATCGACGGCACGTAGTAATCCCCCCCCCCCACAATGGGCTTTAATGTCTCAATTTTCATGTCACTGTTTAATCTCACCCTTCTTTTCTGTAGTATGATTAATTACAGTTTCAGGTTCCACTGAGCACCAGTGAAGACAGATCATATGAGGGATACTACTCTCCAGTCATCTGCACCTTTTAAGTGTTGACAGTGGGACATAGGCTGGTAAATACCCCTTATTCTCCATTGGTGGAGAGTGGTCCTACTCTGCATCATGTAGGATGCTCACTGCTGTTCAAAGACAGAGACCCCACATGCGACTGCTATGGAGGCGGACTCACCCATGGCAAATGAATGGAAGGGCTCTCGACGATCATCACGGGGTCTAGGATGACCAACTAATTGCTGATGTCACTAGAGTTCCTTTTCATTTCTCAGAGGACTCTCAGACAGAGTCAGAATCGTTAAAATGAGGTTACGACATGTAACCATGCACGGTTCCAGATTCTCCAGAAGCAAGGTTTTGTTTAAATAAATAACATAAGCCCTCAGGATGTCGGCGTTTGTGACAAATGTTGTGATGGCTCAGCCACTTTGACCTGTGTCACTAACCCTAACTCTATTATGCATTTTATTGACAATATTATGAGTCTGTTGCTAATTTTTGTTATCAGAACAAAAGTCTTGAAAAATACAAGATCTGCCAACATATACTATTAGTATTAAATATTGAGTATTTTTTATAACATTGCATTGAATTGGGATTACAGGTTATCCACACTGGTTAAGCAACGTTAGCTCAAATAGACCAAATCAAATGATTATGGATGGATCCAGTACCATGGAAATATAGCCATGAAAGGGTTTGCTTAAACCCTTTCATGACGGAGCGGCAAACATTTCAGTTTGCTGTCAACGCGCTCTGAGAAGACTGCTGTCTAGCTGAAGCCATCTGGTTACTGTCTGTGATGCAGATTCTCACTGGGATATTGTGGCCTTAATTGAATCTTTATACCAAGCTGGACAGGAGGGTTTTGGGTGGGTCCTCCTTCCCACAAGCGATTTGCCAGGCACAGCCGTGGCTTCTGCCAGCGTCACTCCTCCCGTCTATCTAACCCAAGTCAGAAGACTGAAGTTCTTGGCGTCGGGGCTTATTTACGTATTCAAATTAGCCCTCAGTAACCTATCGCATGGTTGAATCAACAGCCATCTTTAGGGGGGCTGTGACAGTCCTGTCATCTCCGTTCATCATGTCTGGCCTCCACTCCAGCCTGGCGCCTTGGACAGTGAAGGGGTCAAGCAGAGAGGCTCCCCTTGTATGCCAGAAGACAGCAGGGGCCAAACACGGCTCCTTAGGCAAAGCTACGTCCAAACGGGCAGCCATCTGCTCCAGCTGGCATCCCCGTTTGCTGGGGAGGGGGATACTGGCCACTGGTTCCTTTTGGCTGCATCTCAGGTACCTGTCAGCAAAGCTGCCGTTTACCCTAAACCCCAGACCCCCCTGCCCGAAGCCCACCCCCTCAACACCACCAATATTGACGTGGTTTTGCACGCAACACATTTTACCAATTCAACTGTGATGCAGTCCTGATGAGGCATATTCCAGAGAATGACTTTAAAAAGCTTCTGTTTTTAACTTTAAATGTTCTGGCTTTTTCTACAGTACATAGTTGCTTGACTATTTTAATTTAAGGATTACAGACACTCATCGAGTTACGATAGGGTTATGTTCCGATAAACCTATTGTAAGGTGAAAATGCATTTTAATACAGAACACCTAACATAACAAACGTCATAGCCTAGCCTAGCCTACCTTAAACATGCTTAGAACACTTACATTAGCCTCCAGTTGGGCAAAATCATTAATATAGAGCCTATTTTATAATAAAATGCAGAATATCTGATGTAATTTATTGAATAATGTACTGAAAGTGAAAGTGAAAAACAGAATGGAATTGGAATAACCACTTAAAGTGAAGATATCGTAACATGGACCATTGTAACCTGGGGAGCGTCTATATATGTATTTTTAATGTGAACTATCACCAGTATCGGGGAATTGACATTATAGGGTAATTTATTCACTTGTTCATTGGTAGATGAAGTAGCTCTGCTAGCTCATACCTCCAGGGTTGGGGGTTTGAATCCTGCCTCCTGACTGGGGGGGTGCCCGCACTCTTTGCTGTGTTGCATGAGATTCCTCTGGGTACTATAGTTTCCTCTTGCAGTTCAAAGACTGACAGTTAGATTAACTGGCATTTCTAAAATGCTATTTTTGTAACTGAATCTGTGTAAGTATCCTTTGAGGGGCACTCTGTCCAGCAAAATGCTTCCTTGAATAGACTCATGCCTCTGGAAAATGGCATTGGTCACGATCATACAGCTTTTACATTCAAAATGAAGCTCATCTGACTCTCTGTTTGCACGTGAATTCATGGATGAGTGTAGTGTTTCTCGTTGTGTCTGAATTATATTCCCAAAGAGTGAAAAAGTGCATTCTTCATGCTGTGTTCATATGTGCTCCATCTGGCGATGCAATACACAAATGGCAGAATTGATTTTATCTGAAGCATGGTACATGATAGCAGGGGGTCAATCAGCTTGAGTTTAGGAGTGTAAGGGGATGTGAGGGAAGAATTTAATTGGACAAAACACATCAACCTGACTAAAAGAGTCAAACAGCAGCATTTTGTCAAGAGAAATGATGAGAACAATCTTGAAACTCTTAATGGTGTTACATTCAGTTTATTTATTGTTTCTGATTTCTTTAAAGCTGGGAATCTTGGCTAATGTACAGCATAATTAAGGTGAAGGACTAGCAGAAGTTGAGGGGACATTCTATGCACGTCTTATATCTGGGAAATGTCTCCCCCTTCAGGTTTGTTTATGCATTGCATAAGACATACACCATTAATCTGATTGGACTTTATGGCTTCCATGGAGAGACGTCAATAGGTAATATGCCATAGATAAAAGATCCAAGTTGTTCTGGAATGTAGCAACTTACAGCATTATTCGGCACTGTTTTATTCCCAGGACTGTGCTATGAAATAACAAAGTGAACTTTTGTTATTGCAAAACTGAAGAGAAAGCAAGCACAGAATTGCAGGTGAATCCATGGCTAAGCCAAACCAAATTCTAAGTCTGCTCGACTTCATAAGTAAGCCAAGCTTTATTTGAGTTTTGCTGGGGCATCAAAGCCTTAACACCACAAATTAATGCTTAAAATTTTTCTGTAAGGTGAAATAACAGGTGAAACCTCACAATTAAGATAAGGGCTGCAAGATTTGAGATTTTTATGTGTCACATATATGAAAGTACTGGTATATAGCAGTGAAACGAAAGTTCCGCTACTCCAGACAGTGCAACAAACGTAGAAAGGTAGAAGGAGAAAAAAAATATAAAAGTTAACTGAATAATTACTAAAAATGCAGAAATATATAAAAAGTAAAGTTAGAAGAAAATTGTTGAGGTTGTAGTTATGGGTTATTGTAATCAGTGGTGTTAATGATCCTACTGTGGATCGCAGCTTCTCCTCAGCCTTTCAGTCCGACCTGAGTGCAGCCCCTGGGACAGTTTATGTTGTGGCTACTGAGTGGCTTTGATAATACTAGATGCCCTGGATGAACATTGTTGGATATAGATGTACTGCAGGGTGGGCAGTTTTGTCCTAGTGATTTGCTCAGTGCCCCATTTCACACTTTCCAGGGTCTGTGCAGTAGCAACAACAGCGTCTGCTCCCAGCCACGCCATCTTGCATGCCCTTTACATCAAATCAGCCTCAGATCTCCCTTCCATGTTCCGCCTGAACTTGGA